GCTGTGCTTCTGGGATGTCGAAAACCCCTGGGAACATCAGGGTTTCAAAGGCTCCGCAGGCTCTCTGCACCATTTGTGTGCGAGTCTTTTAAAGGAGAGCGAGCTGTGCCACACGGGGGTGCTCAGAAAGCATAGCAGGGAGGATGCTGCATAGCAGAGCCGCTCCAGCTTCAAGGGCGACTGAGGAAGAAAAATTTGCTGGTGCTGCATTCAACACAGAGGGTGGAGCTAGTTTTGCTCTACCCTTCAGACTACTGCTACAAAACCCAATTCCCCTTGACCATCTTCATTTCATTCCATCGACTTGTATCCATTGGAAAGACGCAGGAATAGAGGAACGTCTGTTAACAGCCACAGTCACAAATACAGTGGGATTAAAAAAGAGGATGCACATAAGGAGCAGTGCAATTCCTTGCTTCATGGAGCATTTTATTGCATTTCCTGGTGGTAACAGATTGATGCTATTGTGCTTGTTAGCATGGTCAACTTTTATTACAAAACTATTAAGAGTTTTATCTCTATGTGGATCTTTGAGTTTCTAAGGGAAAGTTTTTTCTCTAGATTCACAACCCATCCTTAGAAGCCTATACTAATAAAGTGCCTTCTTTCTGCCTCACAGCACACTGAAGGCAGCATTTGAGAGGCTCAAGCAACGTAAGTATTTCCATCTTCCTTTCTGACCTGCATAAGACAGGCACACATTCATCCCCTCTGGGGTCTTCCACCCTCTCTCCCCCTCTATTTCTAACTTTTCTGTCCCAGTCTGTAGTGTGGAGAGTGGAGGGAAAGGACACTCACTGGGAGTCCTCCAAGGCTGGGCACTCAGTCCACTCTCTGGTGGCAAAGAAAATGGCTTGTTCCTCACGTTAGTTTTATCTGGATCAAACCACAAAACATCAGCTCTGTCCTCTCTTCTGCAATCCACTGACATCAAAACAGCATGCTTTCTAAATGTGCCCAAGGCTGAACGAAAACCTTTCACACGCAGAAAATGCAACACCATCATAGCCAGCAGGGCAGCGTACCTGGCTACCGGCACCTGCTGTTTAGATAAAAACACCCTTTTGAAAAGCAGCTGGTGAATTAAGGTATTTTTAGAGCCTGGGTGGGGGAGCTCAACACTTCTGGAAAATGTGGGTTTCCATTTCAGAGGCACCAGAGCCGACAAATGTGAGAAGTTACCAGCCACTTCAAACAGCACCAGCCAGGTGCTCTGAAATTCAATCCATCTTTCCTGACCCTTGGAAACTCTCAGCTTGCAACGTCGTCTCAAGACATTTGTGCAAGGCTGGACGCAACTGGCAAGCAGCTCCCAAGAGCAGCTTAGTGGAGGGAAAGCAGCCACAGGGGGTGATGATGGAGGTCAGAGCTCCTTCCCTCTCTCTGCAACACAACATCTGACCTCCGGTCCCAGGAAGAAGGGGGGTAAATGGGGCTATGAAGAAACACAGCCGGCTCTGCACTTGCCAAGGCTGCTCTGAGTGGGTGCTCCAATTCTGCAGCGAGGAGCCTCGCTCATGCATTCTGCAGGCACTGAGAGGACCTGCAATAAGCCCTATTCATGTTGCGTGAACAGTGGGGCAATGTCAGTGCCTGCAGAAACACGGGGAGGCCTTTTTTACGGCTGCTCTGGTCATGACAAGTTACACAGCAGCCACATCCATCTCCTGAAAAATGTGACTTCATATTTAAAAACCTTTCCACTGACTATATACGGATTCTGATTTGCTTTAGAAATCGAAAGTGTCGGAAACGCTCATATCCAGCTGGCAGTAATGCTGAAGGATGAACTGAAAGGAATAGAGGAGTTCCGAGAAAGACAGAAGGAGCAAAGGAAAAAGGTGAGGAACTAGAGCAATGTTGAAACAGATTGGGTCAATGGCCCATGCTGATGACCTGTCTCCAGCCATAGGCTGTGAATATTGCAAAGGATGATAAAACATGCCCAGTGCGCCCTGTTCACTCCATATCCTAGGCTGAGGAAGAAAATCTCTTTCTGATCCCAGCTGGAAATAAAGTAGTGCTCTGAACTCAGGAGGCAGAGGCTTTAGTCACTTTTACTCTCTCCAGTGTAACTGCAGATACTATTATTATTCCTGTAAGAACTTAAGCCTTCCTTTTCTCTTTGGCTAATTGGGTTTCTTTGGTATGATCCGGCATGATCCCCAACATGCAGTAAAGTAAAGGGGTAACACAAATGTTTAAAAACATAAAAGCAAATTAATATCATGCTGAATGCAACACCAGTATGTGCTGAATTACAAATATGTGGAATAAAGAGCATCTAGTTGATTCTGTATAACAAAAATTTCAGTATATTTAAGGCATGTCAACCCCTATGATCTTATCAAGCTTTAAGTCCCTTGAAGAAGCAGTTCTCAATAGAGACAACAGTGGTCACTCTTGCACCTTCTCTGGTTCCACAGGCTTGAAGACAAAGATGGGACAGTCACTTAACACTGAAAGCACTGATTGATGGAGGAGTAAAATAAAATATCCAGTTCTTTTCTAATTTTAAACAAATTAAAATGCATATGACCAGTATCCAATGCCATAAAAATCTTGTGTCTACAACCCTGGCACACAAGAACTTGGAATAGAGAACAGAGAACTCTGAATATGGCAGTGGGTAAAACCAGTGTTGCTACTGAGATTTGAGGTACACAGCAATCTGATGAAGCAAATCAGGCATATAAAGACAGACAGCGTGTGCCTAGTTCATCAGCATTTGTACATCTCCCCCCCCCCCCCCCCCCCCCACCACCTCTCCCCT